AATAATAATAATAATAATAATAATAATTAATAATAATAATAATAATTACAGACCAGCTCCTGGAGCAGATCCACCACCCCATTGACATGAAAGCTACCGGAAAAGGAAAGGTGATCAGCAGCGTTATAGCTATCTGTGTGTGTGTTGTGTGCCTTCAAGTTGTTTCCAACTTATGGCACCCCTAAAGCGAACCTATCATGGAGTTTTCTTGGCAAGATTTGTTCAGAGGAGGTTTGCCATTGCCTTCCCCTGAGGCTGAGAGAGCGTGACTTACCCAAAGTCACCCAGTGGCTTTCATGGCTGAGCTGGGAACCGAACCCTGGTCTCCAGAGTCAAAGTCCAACACTACAACCACTATGCCACGCTGGTGTGTATGTGTGTGTGTGATGGAAGCATTGCTTACATTCTGCGCCCCCCAAATGAATTTCTCTTTCATGCCCCAAATTTCTAGCACTGCAGTAACTTAAAACTTCAGTTGAGCATTTAGAAATAGCATTTAAGCATCCAAAGAAAAACTGACAAAGGTGCCAAGGGAATGCAAACACAGCACATGTAGGCATTGTAGGTGTGAATGATTTTAAGTGTCCAGTTCTCTGCAACGTGTGACATCTGGGGACTGCAAAAAAATTTCCATCTGGGTCCCCGGAAATCTTATGGAAGGCAATCCCTCCATTTTGACACACCCACTCAGCTACATCCCTGGTAAACCGGAGGAGAGCGCGAGCCTTTGGGGTGGTGGGGGGTGACCACTGCTTACCCATTCCCCCCCACTGTGAATATTTTCAGACATTTTGCTTCTTTTTCTGCAGCAATAATGCAGTTTGACACCACTTTAACTGTCATGGCTCCATGCTATGGCATTCGGGGGGTTGTAGTTTTGTGAGATATTTAGCCTTCTCTCTCAGAGAGCTCTGGTGCCACAGCAAACTACAAATCCCAGGATTCCATACCACTGAGCCATGGCAGTTAAAGAAGTGTCAAACTGGATTATTTCTGTAGTGCAGACTGAGAGCCACCATAGTGCAGTGGTTTGAGCATTGGACTTGGACTCTAGAGACCAGGGTTTGATTCCCAGCTCAGCCATGTAAACCTACTGGGTGACCCTGGGCAAGTCACACACTCTCAGCCTCAGAGAATGGTCATGGCAAACCCCCTCTGCCAGGAAAATCTTGTGACAGGGTTGCCTTTGGTTCGCCATAAGTCGGAAATGACTTGATGGCACACAACAACGACAGCAGATTAGATCTCATTTTCTCTCACCTCCCGCTTCAGGAACAAGAAGAAAAGGGGGAAATGATGGTGGAAAGCAAGGACTCCTCTGTCCCCCCCCCCCCAACTTCTCTCTCTTCACTCTTTTCTGGCAAGTACACAAGGTACATAGGGAGATCAGATATCCTCAATGCAAAGGAGGACAAGGCATCACAAAATGCAGGACATTCCAGAAAAATGGAGGAGGTGATCAAATAAAAGTGAAGAACACTCATAGAAATGTACATTCTTGCTTCTATGGTCCAAAACTCATGGCAGAAATCATCCCATTTGAGACCGTTTTAACTGCCCTGGTGTCACAATAAACTACAATTCCCCAAATTCCCTAACAGTTAAAGCAGTCTCAAACTGGGATGATTTCTGACGTGTGTTTTGGACCTTAGTTATGCTCAAAAGGGAGAACATTTTGGAAATTTCTCCTGGACAGAAGGTTGAAATGTTGGATGGGTCCTGGAAAAGGAGGACGCTTGGTCACCCTGCAAGTACAGCCTAGACCTACCGTGTCCTTCAGAGAGAAGAAAGAGAAAGTACAGGAAAGAAAGGGAAAAAAAAGAGCACTATCTTTTCCAGTTCAGCCAGTGCCTCCCAGTGACCTAGATAAATGGGACCAGCACTGCGGTGGCATGCAAGTGAGAGAATACTTCATTACTGCCTTTCTCTCTCTCTCTCTGAGCAGTGCAACAAGGAAGCCTTGGGCTCTCTGGTGCTGCATCCACACTGCAGAAATAATCTGGTTTGACTCTACTTTAACTGGCCTGGCTCCATGCTCTGGCATTCTGGGAATTGCAGTTTGTTGTGGCACCAGAGTCCTCCCCACAAAGGAAGATCAGGCATTGCAAAATGGAAGAGACTCCAGACAAATGGAGGGTGCAACCAAAGACAAGCCAAAAACACTCATAGAAATAGAAACCCATACTTCGCAGTCAGGCTCAGAATGGAGGACGTGGTGGAATTCTTCTTGGACAGAATGGTGGAAATGGAGGACCTATTCTGGAAAAGGAGGACCTCTGGTCGCCCTGGCTTTGCCAATTCCTTCCTCTGAAATAAAAGCCCATCAGCACCTAACAGCATTCCTGGGTGGTCTCCCATCCAAGGACTAACCAGGGCTGACCCTGCTTAGCAGTCAAAGTCAAACAGCCTTTAGGGTATGTAGAGAGCAAGTACAGCACAGTAGTTTGAGTGTTGGACTATGACCAGGGTTCAAATCCCGGCACAGCCATCGAACCACCTCCCGGGTGACCTTGAGCAAGTCACACTGTCTCAGCCTCAGGGGATGGCCACAGCAAATCTTGCCAAGAAACCCCATCATAGGGTCTTAGGGTTGCCTTAAATTGGAAACGACCTGAAGGCACACAACAATATTTACTTTTTAGGCTAATTTATTTTGAGTGAGATTTTTCAACATAATCAATTTAGCAGGCGGGTTCTGCAAGGCTGCTTGCATCCCGCATAGTGCAGATTCTGTAGACCAGGATTCGAACCCATCATGGCCATGGAAACCCCCTGGGTGACCTTAGGAAAGCCACACTCTCTCAGCCTCAAGGGAAGGCAATGGCAACCTTCTTCTGAAGAAACTTGCCAAGAAAACCCCATGACAGGTTTGAGTGGTGAGACTACGACTCTGGAGGCCAGGGTTCAGATCCCAGCATGGCCATGGAAACCCACTGGCTGACCTTGAACAAGTCACACTCTCTCAGTCTCAGGGGAAGGAGAAAAGTAAACCTCCTGCCAAGAAAACCCCATAATAGGGTCGCAAAGGACTTGAAGGCACACAAACACACCCACAGAGACACCCAACACACTCACACAGAGGCTGAGGGTGAAGCTCCTTACCAGGTACCAGATGCCAAGGATGATGGTGCCAGTGCGGACATGGCAGCACAAGCAGCAGCTGTTGGAGTAGAAGCGAGCCCAGGGGGAGCTCAGCATCTTCATGGCGGTGGTGTCCGGAGAGCCCTCCTCTCTTGGCTCCTGCAGCGGTTGTGGTTGTGGTTCCTGCTGTTGTGCTGCTCGAGGAGGCTGCTGCTGCTGCTGTTTCTTCCAATAGTGCCCAAGCAGGGGTTGGAAGGGACCTGCTGCCCTTCCCAGCAGCTCAGACGCGACTCCCCCAGGGATGCAGCAGCCTCACCTGTCCAGCAGCCTCACCTGTCCTGCATCAGGAAGCGAGCTGCGCAGTCGAACCTCTGAGATCAAAGCAGGGAGGGAATACCTCCGTTCCATGACGTCAACGCCCCCTCCCCCAGGGAGGTGGGCGGAGCCTTGGAACTCAGCTGCTCCAATCAGGGAGGGGGAAATCAGGTGGAAAAAGGGATTTGCTGCAGAGAGGGTTTAGATGGATTGAACCAAGAGGGACATTGCGAGGGGAGGGGAGGGTTGCGGACCGTACCAAGTGACTCTGCTGTCTCTCCACTGCTCCTCCTCCTCCTCCAGCATCTGCATTTGGGCAGAAGAGGGCTGTGGCAATTCTTTAAAGTGCTGAAGGAATGGTGTGAGTGGGGGTGAGGAGAAAAAAGAGGTCCCAGGTTTTTATTTTTTTATTTTAAAAAAATTCAAAAAATTTACTTTTTTCCCCCCAACCTTTTTCCTTAAGTATAAATAACAACTGTGATTTTTGATATATAACTTTTGTTATAAAAATAATAAGAGGAATATATATACCTTGGTGACAGCTCCTGGAAGTCATGGAATCTTTGTCTTTTTTGTTCTTTTTCTCTTTTTCTTTTCTCTCTTCTTTTTTCTTATATTTTTCTTCTCTTTTTTTTCTAATTCTATCACTATTTTTTTTTATTTTTCTCTTTTCTTTTCTTTTTTTTCTCTTATATTCTTTGCTCCCTCTATTTTTTCTTTTCTCATCTTTATATTTCTCATCTGTACACTTAAAGTTACACATTTTGCATGTATACTAAGTATATAAGTTGTATAACTTCTATGTAATTGGGTGCACTTGTAACTGCTTTTTAATATATAAATAATTTTTTTAAAAATAACTTTATATATATCAAGGTTTGCAATTTAGAATTTGTACTTTTTAAAAATATTTAAAAATATATATATATATATATATATTGCTATGGAATTCTGGGATTTGTAGTTGGTTGTGGCACCAGAGCGGAGTAACGGATTCCAGAATTCCATATCACTGAGCCACAGCACTTAAAGCGGTGTCAAAACTGGATTATCTCTGCAGTGCAGATGGCAGGCTAAACCACACAGGAAATGGGCTGTGGGGTTTGCCTGCCTCCCCCCTTGAAAAGGATGAAAATATAGTGGGAGTGGGGGATCAGTGGGAGGAAAAAGGAGAGGCCTCGGGTTTTTTAAAAAATAAAAATTTAAAAATTATTTTTCCCCCAAAAAATTAACATTTTAAATTTTTTAAATTTTTTTCTTGAAAGCAACAAAGTCTTATGAAATTTTCAATTTTACCATATGGAATTATGTATGGCCGGCCCTCCATGTCCACAGATTCTTTATCCACGGATTCAAGCATCCTCAGCTTGAAAATATTTTTAAAAAGTACAAATTCTAAATTGCAAACCTTGATTTTGTCATTTTATATCACCATTTTACTATAGGCATTGTATTTAACAGGATTTGAGTATCCACTGATTTTAGTATCCATGGCGGGGGTGGTATCCTGGAAGCAAACCCTAGTGGATAACAAGGCCCCACTTTACATATAAATACATTTAGGCTGTGCATATGATATTGTAATTTAAAGGCATAATATTAATTTTGCTGGTTGTTTTATGTCACAACTATTGCCGTTGCATTCAGTGATATATGGGAATTATGATGTCTGAGTAACATTAGTACCATTTATTTATTTTTTACTAAGCATGCTGTATACAAGAGCCAGTGTGCCATAGTGGTTTGAGTGTTGGTTGATGATTCTGGAGACCAGGGTTCAATTCCTTACTCAGCCATGAAAGCCACTGGGTGACTGTGGGCAAGTCACACTCTCTCAGCCTCAGGGGAAGGCAATGGCAAACCTCCGTTGAACAAATCTTGCCATGAAAGCCCCATGATAGGTTTGCCTTAAGGTTGCCAGAAGTTGGAAATTACCTGAAGGCATGCAAGAACAACAACAATAATAAGGATTC